TGTTTCTCAACTGTGTGTGTATGTGTGTTTTAAAAGGAGTGGTAAAATAGTGGTAATAATCAGGGGAATGCAAAGACAAAGACATCTGTTAGATGCTCTTTGTGCATTAACATTTCATTTCAAATGCTGGACCATTAATGTTCTTCCCACATAGATGATATTATTGGCTTTTCTCCCAAAGGAGTTAAAATAAACGACACTAGAGTGAATAGAAATTATCTGTCACTCTTTTCACATGATATGTTTAACTGTAGAATGTCTAAAACATTTTCAAGGAGAAAAAGAATGGAGGATGAAGAGAAGGAAATAAAGTTAGATAGTAAAAATTAAGTGTTTTGGCAACACTGAATACTACAGTTTTCAACTATTGGACTCATATGGGTTTTGAATATATGCATACATACACACATGCATATTTATAAGGAAAAGAAGCAAAAATACTTCTATTCCCCTAAAAATTGTGAGATAAAATTTATATTGTGGCTCAGTGGCAGAGCGCTTGCCTCACACATGTGAGGCACTGGGTTCGAAAAAATAAACAAAATAAAGATAAGAAAAAACCCATACACTAGCAAATCATGTTATTTTGTACAGTATCAAACTTGCTCTAAATAAAAAAATACATATTTTTAATAGTGACTGGATAGAGAGAGCAAATAGATTAAATTAATAAAACAATCTCTTATCGCCAGGACTTCAAATCCATATTCCAATCCATTAATTAAATTAAATCATACACAAACTATCGTCGCACTCCTATTATTTCAAATTAGAAATACTTAATCTCAACAATACTTTCTATAAAGCTTATGAAGCTCATGTTAAAAGTTAAATATGTTCTTTTTTTCTATTTGTCCTAAGGTAGAAATTCATATTTCTGAGCATAATCTCACTTTTAAATATAACTGATTATATATATATACATATATAATTCAAATTTTCTTTTCATAAACACTTAATATGCTTAAATGATTAAAGAAAAAAAAGATGTCTCTATAATCTTATTTACCTGGTCTTGATTTCTATTTGTGAGATTATGTGTGCATTAATAGAAACTTTTATGAAGTTATTTTCTCTTAACTATGCATTAACAAATGTAGAATCCTTCTCTACAACTGTCTGTTCTGAATACGACACATGTACCTTTTGTGAAAATGACATTAAGTAGGTTAAAATGTTTGTTCACAGCTAAAAATCTGAGTTTTAGAACAACTCTATTAGACAGTGTGTCTAGTGAAGCAAAGTGAGATGTTAAAGGTTACAAAAATTCCTCCTGCTCCTTCTTGCTTTTAGACTACAGAATAACAGGTAATAGCAAACTGATTTGGATGCAACAGACAAAAAGAATGAAAGGATTAAAACAAAGAGTCATCTATACAATTCTGTAGCTTTTTATTTATTTCACTTAAAGTCTGCCAACTATATAAATATTAACAAACTTAAAAATGAGGGCAGAAAAATAACACTTTTAAGTTTTGGTAATTGGTATTTTAGTACAATTTAATTTGTGGCCAATCTGTCAATATAGACAAATTTTGAGCACTGAATTTTAGTTATAATGCTTACCCATTTTTAAAACTCTTCCTAAAAAACAATTACGTGGGAATGACAAACTTTTTCATAACTTCAGTGTAACAAAAAAATGCCCTAAAGATCCTTGTAAGGCAGGAGAGTTCTGTGAACTCCAAGAATTTTTTTCAAAGAAGTCCCAAAGAATTTTTTCAAAGAGCCCCCAAAGGATCATAAACAGTAATCAAATGAGATAATTGCTAATTTAACTAATGTCCACATTTGACTTAATAAGAAGCTTTAAAAAATGGGCTGGTTCTGGAAAACTAGTCAATCACATCAATGAATTCAGTGCTAGCATAAAGCACGAGAATTACTATTTATTCTGTTTCATTGTTAAAAGAGCAATGGAAAGGGGGCTAACTTATGCAAATATTTAAAGACTACATTTGGAAATATGGAAGCTTCTGTACCACTGCTTTCACTTTACAGATAGTTAAGATGTGTCATCGAAACTTTAGAGCAACGGTAGGAAAATCCCATTAGTCTATTTTTTATTTTTTCCATTTCACATAATCCTTTGAAATATTAGGTGATTAGGACAGAAGTCTTTCATTAGAAGAACATGTGAGCAGGTGTTAAGATACACTATAAACTCAAATAAAAGTCTATCTGAACATATGGTAATAGTATAAATAAGCTCCTAAAGTTAATGCACTAATTACAGTAACCAAAACATTAAAGAATATAATAGTAAAGAGCTTGGGAAGAAAAGATTCAAAACATATATTAGTGAGATTTTACAAATAAATTATGTTTCTTTTACTTTGCTCAATGAGAATTTCAATTTCTTTTAGAAAATTTCAGTTAGGAAACTTTTAGTCCATCTTGTCAACTTCAAGAAGGTTTCTAATCTGAGGTGAGTTATGTTCAACTGACAAAGGGGTTCTGTTAGGAGCTGTCCATGGGTTGCATGTGGGTCACCATGCATGGAAGCCTGGTGGTCAGACATCTGGCGTCTGGGAATGACCAGTGGACATTTCCTCTGGTCAACTGCCCAGGGACAATGTGAATCTCAATCCCACCCTGCCATGGCCCACACAGCACCTGAGAGGGTGTGACCTGCCAAGATGTCAGTCAACTTACTGACTAAGATATCACAAAGCAAGACTCTGCCCTTGAAACCTTATCCCTGCCTTTGATGTACTCTCTTAAACAAACCATCAGAGCCATTTTTTCTTTGTCTAGTTCCAGAACCCATGTGAAGTAGATCTATCAGGGGCTTCTTCTTTTGTAAATATATTTCTGAGTATTTGTGTTTTGTTATTTACTAATTATTTGAGATTTTAAGTTTTAGGGTGGCTTGGATTTCCCTAGGTAGGAAGAATCCTCTAATGAGACACTGCTGGCCATCAGACCACTCCCCACACCATAGGGTTCCATTTTTGGGTTGAGGATATTTTATTGTAAATGAGTTTAGGAGATGAATTAAGAGGAGCGATAAATACAAATCAAAGAACTTCTCAGACAACAATTGGGTGAGTTTGTTAAGCACAGGATAAAATTAGGTTTGACTTGTTAAATGACTTACTGATAACCAGTGTAGTTTTCTTACAAGCACCATTGATTTTACAAGACACCACTAGCAACAAAAATCCAGTATATAATTCCTTCAAGTTAGAAAAAAGAGAAATGAGAACCAGATATGTTAAGTAACCTAAAATCAGAAAAGCTAATCAACGCTATAAACCTGGAGTCATTGTCCCTTTTACTAGAAAGGGAATCCTTTCTTTCAAACACATCTCCCAAATTCTTAGAGCAAAGTAAAACTCTCAAAGAAGTTCCCGTCTATTATAGTCTACCTTAATCAAAATATAGAAGGATTCTTTAAAATTTCTCCAACTGATCATCTCCTGAACTCTTAATTCATCTCTTGAACTCATTTCTGGTAGAAGTATTGCCTCCTATTCCACAATGTCACTTAACCTAAGGAAGGAACCCTTCTGTCAGTTGAGCATAACTCACCTCAAAATGGAAAATTTCCTGATGCTGACAAGATAGGCTAAGTTTCCTAAAGAAAATTTTCTAAGAGAAATTGAAGTTTCCTTGATTATTTTCAGAAATTCTTATTGAGCAAATGAATCTATGAATCTACTCATAGATGAATCCCTAATTAGTTAATTAATCCCTAATTAGTGAGTTTCATCTCTCACCTGTCCAGCTACATCTTAGCAGCTCCAAACATACTCTATACTTTTTCACATTCTCAAAATCTATGTGCACACAGTTCCTTCTGGCTAGAAATACCAGGAATAAGTCTGAATAACTTATATAAAATACCAAGCAAGATGAAGACAGGATATATGTTAATTTCTTAATTCTTATACACTGTAGCAACTACCATTTATTGAAAACATATTATGTATAAATGTTTCAAATGCATGATGTCATTTATTTCCCAATTAACTCTTAGAAGTACTTAAGAGTACTTCTAAGTACTGACTTTAGAAATGAAGAAGTAAACTCAGGATAAAAAACTTTTCCAAGGATCCATAGCAAGCAACAGAACTACATGTAAATAGAAATATATATACACAAATATTCTTATCCCTTAATCTCACTCTCTCTCCCTTCCCCCATAACAAATGCTGGCATGGTTAACAAAATTGGAAACTTATTTTCTACATATCAAAATAACAAACAGATATCAAGAGTTAAAATAGTTTTGGATCCTCTGATCCAGATTTTTTCCCACTTATAGAATTTTACATCAGAAATATACCTATGCTGTAAAACTGATTTTTTAAAGGTAGTCTAAAAACAAGAAGGACRAACATCTAAACACCAACTATAGTTATGTTCAAGTGATAGAATTACAAGTTAATTTTCTTTATTCTTTATATTCTAAAAGTTCTTTATTATGTGGGAAAATGTAACTTTGAGGCACAAATGATAGAGGGATAAAAAAGAGTCTGTTGAATTAATATCATTTACATGGCTCAAATACTGAAGGCTGAGGAGGAAGCTTGTGGTTACTTAGATTTGTTTTCATTCTTCTGATTACAACTTGTATAACTTAGTAAGCATAGTGAGAAGTGGCATAATTCAAACGCAAATGCTGATACAACTAAACAAAACCTCATGCTTATTTTAAAAAAGTAACTAACACTTATCAACTAGAAAGAAACACAGCACTAAAAGAAGTGAGGCATATATCTTCCTAACTATTCACTCACATGTATTCAGACTTAACAGTTTCACTCTGCAACTCAGGGTGATGTCACATCCATACAGTAAAGTGTCCTGAGAACAATAAGGGTTAATGTGAGACTGTACCAGTAAAATACAAAAGTATCTTTCTTTCACCCAAATAGAATATAAGGTAAAATAAGAAGGAAACACTTTTAAAGTTGCCATCTACTTTTTAGGCCAAAAATATATTTTTGCTTGTTTAATTATGTGTTATTGATGAAATACATTTTTATTCATTTAGAAAAAAATCACGTTTTCCCATTATGTACACTTCAGCATATTTAACAAATTCAAACAGTATTAATTAAAAACCTTAATGTTCAAATAAATGATATTTGATATCCACTTTCTTTCCCTCTATTACTACTATGGAAATTTGGTAGGAACTGTCAAAATATAAACACACAGAAACCAAACTGAAATTTCAAAGTATTTTGGATGCTTTTAGGCATGGTGTGTAATAATGAAGGTTCAGGCTAATGGCATAATTAGAATGCATTCTCCGATCAATATTTCTTTTTTCTCTCAAAAAGGCAGAACAACAACAACAAAAAAGCAAATAACTTAAAGATCTGTGTCAATTCTATGCTTCAAAATTGGCATATCTAGAAGATATACTATTTTTTAAAAAGGATTTATGAGAAAAATATGTAAGAATCATTCTAATAAGTCAAGTTCCATTACAGTAAGTATAAACATAACAATGAAATATTTAAAATGTCAACTAGCAAGCTCTATAAATCATATTTTGTTGATTTAATTACAACATTCACTATGAAATATCTAATGCAACAAATATTTTCCTGGAAGCTATCCACACAATAGTGGACATTAAAGATATGGAATATTTATACTTTGTGTAAATTTACTTTAAGAAGGAAGTAACTAATAGGGTTGCCTCAGTTTTCCACCACCTGCTTGTCTCCTCCCTTTTTTCCTTTCCTGCCCTTCTCTAGTCTGGACACTGGGAAAGAAGAGTGGGGCATTTAGGAGAAGATGGGAGCCACAGTCTTCCTGGAAGTCAGGGTCCATGCTCAGAATCTTCTTTCCTTCCTCTCCCAAGACAGATAAGAGTTCATTCAGATTGGCCCTCTTCCAGTCAGGAAAATTTTCTAAAGTGTTACAAACCATCCAGCTAGAGAAAAGAAGAAAGGAGAGGAAAAATAAAAGGAAARAGAGAAACAGTTGAAGAAAGAAAGAAACTCCTCTCTTGTCTATTCCGGTGTTTACTAAGGAATTCTGGATAAGAAATAGCTTGCAAGTGTGAGAAGTCCATGTAATTTAAAGATAATAATTATTTTTTAATTGAAGAAAAGAAAAAGGTCCTGTTTTATTTTTTGGTTTTGTGTCTGCTTAAGTGGATGAGGGTGTAGCAATATCTAACAGACTCAGTAATATAATACAATTGTTCCTGCTTGCAGATGCCTGAGAACCATTTAGGTCTCCTGGCTGCTATGTGTAATATAACCTTCTTCGAGTGGGAGCATGATTCATCTTTCTCAAACTTGCCTGTTCATATAATTTCCCAAGGACATTTATGAAACTTTCCAAAATACAGATCCTTACCCTTCTCCTTTTCTCCCTGAAATATTTATTCATATATTTTGTTAACTGATTTTTAAAGATTCCCAGGTGATATGGATGATCAATCAGGTTTGAGAATCACTGGTATAAATAAGTTTTATTCTAGAGATCTCTTCTGCACTTTAATAGTACTGTATGAATCCTAGAACTTGCTTTACTTCCCTAATTTAAAGCAATCTGGTACTTTATACAAAAAGTACTATATGGCTTATAGTATTATATGGATCCTTGAACTTACTTTACTTCCCTAGTTTAGAGCAATCTGGTGTTTTTTTTTTTGTTTTTTTTTTTACAAAAAAGTGTTTACTAATAAATCAGAAAAGGATGCCTATTTTCCAGATAAAACTTAAATGAATTAGAAAAAATAGATAGGTCTTTAATGCAATACAGTAAGAGAAGGAAGAACATACTATAACTCTAACAAAAATATTAAGCCAATAACAAATGACATTTCCCCTACAGTTGCATGTTTAAACATTTCTGTTGGGGCTGGGGTTGTGGCTCAATGGTAGAGCGCTTGCCTAGCATGTGCAAGGCCCTGGGTTTGATCCTCAGCACCACATAAAAATAAATAAATAAAATAAAGATATTGTGTCCAGTTACAACTGAAAAATAAGAATTTAAAAAATTAAAAAAAACATTTCTGTCACTTTCAAAAATGGGCAAAATATGGTAGAGTATACTCTAATTGGAAAAGCAGTAATTTTGAAATAATTATATAACTAATGGTTCTCGTCAGGAAAATTAGTTTTCTTAAAATTTATATAGTCTCAAAATTTACCACTGAGTTTCAAATCTATTAGTTATGAAAACTATCTTCTATCTATATTTTAGCATTTCTTTGGTTTAAATGACTATCAGTTAATCATGCAACAAACAAGATAAAAGCCAAGTCTGAAAGGTTGTATCATTCATTCCAAAACTTAAATTAATTTCACATTATATGTGCACAAGCCATGTAATGGTAGGGGTAATTTAAAAATGAATGATGTCAATAGCAAAGAGTTCGGTACTTCTTACTGTGTGCTAGAGACTGTTCTAAGCCCTGTCTATGCATTACCTCATTTTATTGTTCTGACAACCAAAAAGAGAAAAGCTGCTATTATCCTCAGCACTTTACAGAGGAGTACATATTTATATGTAATCAGTGTGGTTAGGACCTTGGGCAAGGTCTCAGAGTGGGCAAGTAGGAAATCTTGAGATTATGACGGCTTTTTATAAGGAGGCTATAGGTTAGTAGGAGACCCAAGCAACAGCATGTGAACCCAATATCAGGACTACTTCATTCAACAAATAATTTTAAAGGATAGGAATCATGAGAAAATCAGGTAAAGAAGATCTTAACACAAAATTTAAAATGCTTCATGGTTAAGTGTTTTATTATACACAAAAAGATTTATTCATTAGAATAAGAATAGAAAGAATACGTTTCATTATATGACATAAGACATGGGTGCTCTCATCTAAAACAGACATAAATTTTCACAGAATAGGTGATAACATAGATGATAGGTTTCTAAGCCAAGTATTGCTGCCCTTAATTTCAAAGGAGGGAAATTACTCTGCAGCCATGATTCCTGATGTCTCAAGCCACAAGAGGAAATGTTCAATGCTTTTCCTGAGGACAGAGTATACATTTTGGGGGGCTACTTTAAAGGAGCTAGGGAGTCTTAAATGTCTTTTATAAGTACTCGCTTTAACCATTAGCCACCCATTATGAATTGGTGACTAGTAAATATATATGATACATGTGGTACGGAGCTGACAGTATAAGTATGAGGATACTTGCAACAAAAATATGCTGACCATTTACATACACATGATCACTTTGAAACAAAGATGCTCATTTGTATACTTGAAACACTTTCTATTTCATTCCAGTGGTTTCAAACAAGAATCATGCCGCACAGGAGATCTTTTACCTAACTTCAGCCTCTAAATAATGTTAATACAAAAGATAACACTTTTAGCTGGGATGTTTTTCCTTTTACCTTAAAGAATATCTTAAAGTTTTCATTAGTATAGGTCAGCTGATGGCAAAACTTCAGATTTATACATCTAAAAATATTTATTTTCACTTTGCTTGAGAGATATTCACTAGATGAAGGGTGGCAGGTATTTTACTTCATATGCTGAATATTTGATTCTGATGTTTTGTTCACTGAGAAGTTGGCTGTTAGTTTAGCTGTCAATACTGTCTTTTTTTTTTTTTTCCTTAAATGTCCCTCTTTTGGGGGGAAGAGGGGACACAGTTTCTTCAATAAAGTAATATTAAGAAAACTGAATATCTACATAGAGAAGGAGGAAAATGGACTCTTACACAAAGGACCACAACACACACACAAAACTCAAAATATTTTGAGTACTTAAATGTAAGAGTAAAACAACAAGAATCAAATTGAGAGAAGTTTTATAATATTGGCATGGGCAATAATTTTTTGAACATGAACTCAAAAGTAGAGGTTACAAAAGCAAAAACAGATAAATAGAAGTGGACCAAAGTAAAAAGTTTCTACATAACAACAAAGCAATGAGACAATCATGCAAAAGCAACTAAACAGCAAGAAACAATCCAATATAAAAATGAGCAAAGGACCTGAACAGACATTTCTCAATAGAAACAAGTTGTATATGAAAAGAATGTTCAAAATGATTATTAGGACTTTGCAAATTAAAACCACAATGAGGTTATCTCACATCTGTCAGGATTTCAACCATCAAAAAGAAGAAAGGTTAAGTATTAGCAAGGATGTGAAGAAAAGAAAACCCTTGTAAACACTGTTGGTGAGAAGGGTAAATTAGTCCAGCCATTGTGGAAAACTATATGGAGGTTTATAAAAAAAAATCCAATTGTAGAACTACTATATGTTCCAGCAATCCCATATATCCAAATGAACTGAAATTTGTACATTGGACATCTGCACTTTCATATTTGCTGCATCATTAATCACAATAGCCAAATATGAAATCAACCTAGGTAATAATCAATAGATGAGTAGATAAAGAAAATGTGGTGTGAATAGTACTATTCAGTCATGAAAAAAGGATAAAATCCTTTCAACAACATGGATGAACTTGCAGGATATTATGCTAAGTGAAATGAGCCACACACAGAAAGACAAATACTACATGATCTCATTTCTGTGTGTAATCTAAAAAGATTAAATTCATAGAAGAAGAGTACAATAGTGTTTATCAGAGGCTGGGAAGAAGAGAGACTGGTCAAAGGGTACAAAATTTCAGATAGGAAGAATGTTTCTGAGACCTACTACACACAATGTGACGCCTGTAGATAGTAATAACATAATGTATACTGCAAAATTGTTAACAGAATAGATCTGAAATGGTCTCACCCCAAGAAATGAACATTTTAGGTGACAGCTTCATTAATTGATGTTATTTAATCATTTTATATGTTAAAATATCAAACTATACCCCGTAAACATGCATAATTATTTGTCAATAATAATAAGAGACATAACTTAAAGGATGAAAAAAACCTTCCTTGTATTTTCCTTATTTTTAGTAGTTTTATCATATTATGCCAAGGTGGATCAGACACAACTGGCTTTAATCTAGCACTACATTACTTGGTTTTCAAGAATAGAGAATAGGAAATTCAGTCTGCACAAATATCTTCAAACTGATCGGGAGGCCAGATAATCACTCACATGAATAGCCTCTTAGATTTCTCCTCCGCCCATACTAAGAGTATCCACTGACACCAGAGACAGAGATGCATGCAGCTGACCTCAATACAGATGTGCCTTGGTTTTCTATCAGTCTCATACTGTTCAAAGGTATTATACCAACTTACAGTTCTCCCAGTCCAGATGCAACACCAGAAAGGGTTTTAGTATTAACCTTAAGAGATATAAAGGAATTTACCCATAATATTTTGTGTTTGTCTTAATATATTTCCAAGGAAATGATGTTATGAGAAGGCAGACCCAAGATAAGATCCAAGACAAGCCCATATATATTTCATTATATATAAAAWAWATATATATATATATTTCATTATATATTCTCTGCAGTTGAAAGGTCTAATGAATCTCTCTCTGCCTTGATGTCTTTTGTCAACTCTGTAAAGTTCTCAATAATAATCCCTTCCAATTTTTGCTCTCCTTTTAGATTTCCTGTTAAACATGTTAAATGTTCTTACTTTATTCCCTATTTCTTTTATATATTTTTAAAATAATTTTTCTCTTCTCATGTTTCCTTCTCCTAACTTATATACCAGTTAATTCTTTTTTTCTACTTTACTTACATTCAACAAATCCTGAGTAGTTCTTTTTGGTAATAGTAATTTTTTCAGCTTTAAGGTTTTCATTTTTAAAATAGTTTCCAATTCCCAAATAAAACTTTCAATCTTGTCTTTCATCTTGTAAGCATGGCTACTTTCAAGCTATGTCTGGTAAATCTTATATCTAAGAATTATGTTATGATTCTGTTTCTGTTGTATGTTGCTATGCTGGATTTTATTACTAACTTTTTATTGTGCTTTAGTTACTATAATTGCAAAACTGGAAAAATGAAGGAAAAACCTGCTAATGTTACCTTCTTTCAGAAGGAATTTAAGTTTATATCCTGTGAACACTAGCAGGGTCACCTCAATTAATTTTCAGGGACTGATATGATATGAAGGTGAATTACAATCAATATAAAAGCTTATCTTCTATTGGGTTTATCCTAGACTATATTACTGTGGGGACCTAAAATGATGATAGTCACTCATAATGACAGTGCACTCCAATTTCTGTGACCCTGTAAAGCTGCCATAAGTGATTCCAGCCACCCCACCAAAATCATCAAATGCTTACAGGGGAACAGCAGTCCTAGTCTTATGATTCTTCTGATTTTATTTCTTTTCCATTACCTTCAAACAAGATTCTGTTTTAAAATACAGAATCTTGTTTGAAGGTACTGTTTAACAACCAGGATATATGCCAAGAAATGCCTTGTTAGCAATTTATGCAAACCTCATAGACTGTGCTTCAACAAATCCAGATGGCATAGCCTTCTATATACCTAAGCTGAATGTTATAGGCTATTGCTTCCAGGTTACAAATCTGTATAGTACGTTACTGTCCTGGCTATTGTAGACAAACAGAACACAATGGTATATACTCATTCTTCTAAACATAGAAAAGGCAGAGTAAAAACTACAGAATACAAGATTTAAAAAAATGGTACACTTTTACATGAAAACTGGCAGGATTGGAATTTGTTCTGAGAGTGGTGAGTGAATGTAAAGTCCTAGAACACTACTCTATAATGCTGTAGACTTTATGAACACAGAATACTAAGTGGTACATGCTCAGCCTGTGTGAGGCTCTGAGTTCACTGTCCAGCACAAAAACAAGAATAACAACAGAAACCCAACAACCAACCAAGCACCTAAAAAACTATTTTTAAGAAGATAATCTAATGAATGGCTATAGAATATAATAAATCATGATAGTAAATAATTATTTATTCATATAATACAGGAATAAGTGAAAACCAAAAAAAAAAAAGAAACATTTTTTTTACAACCTAGTATAATTTTCTTGTCAACAAATTGAATATGTTTAAATAATCTTACATAAGTGCATTTTTAGAGCAATTCTAGAGAATCCAGAGTGGTCTACATGTGTGTATATGTATAATATCCACTAGGCACGTAACAGTTAATCACATACACATATAGGCCACTCTATTACCTACATCAAATGCTTTTCCTATTGTTAAAATACAACCTCAGCTGAATGCTTAGTGAGTATATACTGCATGTGATCATTAAGGAAAATGCGACACCGTGGGTACTCGGAGGAATTTCCTGTCATATAGAAGAGATGCAGACAATGTGATAGTGCTTGTAATATAAATATGCATAAGATACTTTGATGCATAGAAGGGATACTAGGTCAATACGACATTGTTATATTGTGACATTTCAAACAAACCAAGCAAATACCAAGCAAAAAAGAAAATACATATATCAATTTATATTTTAAAAAATTTTAAAATCCTGTGTATACATAAAACATTACATGAGATACCAAGGTTTAAAAAAAAACTGATATGAAAACTTACCCCATCTGGTAGTGCCCTCCAGCACACAGCACTAACAAATTCATTTGTATCATCTTCTTTTCTGTCTTTGTCCAGAACACTTTTGACTGTATCAAACTTAAAAGTTAACAAAGTCTTAGAAAGTCCTTTATAGTACAGGTAGAGAGAGTTATTCTCACTTCCTGAAAATAAAAAAATAAAAAACAATTTTTTTAGAATTGGAGAACTTGGAATTAGAATATCACAGTTAAATAGTAACTACCAGCCAAAGTTTAACTCAGAGACCAATAATCTTTTATGGTCAAATTTGAAAGAATAGATCACAGAATTAATTGGAAATCAGTTGAAAAAAGCATTCTTGGACAAGAGCCATGGTTTACTAATAATCTAAAGAAATGATCAATGTTATATAATTTAACAATATTGATACTTCTAAAGTTGAATTTGTCATATATATATATAAAACACTGATAGCATCAACAACAGAACCAGAAATTAGTTATAAGAATCTTAATTTACATTTGGACCAAATTACCATATGGAAATTGAGACAAATGTAAATAACCTATAAAATTTATTTCCCATTTCCGAATAATCACATTATTCTATTAGGAAAGTATACTTTTTGAACAATCTATCAAGGCTGGATAACTGTGCTGGATATTTACTTTCTTAGTTTATACAAGTAGAGAGAATAAAATTTATTGAATGAAGGTTAAGTCACTTAAAAGTACTGATGAAAGCTCATTAGATATATTAGAACATTTGAGTAATATAAAATTTGATTTTTCTTGTTCTGATTTAAACTTATAAAAGTTATCAACAATAAAAGACCTAGAATAATAGATCAACGTTACCCAAGCAGACCACCTACTAAAGAGAACACTAGATAGAAGAAACTGAATATCAATCTTAAGACAAATATTTGTCTCCTTAATTATTTTTAGTAATTAAGATTTTTTTTTGTCTTCTACAGAATAGCTATACAAGTTATGCTACACTGGAAAATAACTAAATGAAACAGTTTAAAATGTCATGCTGTATCACGTATTCAGGGTTTGTACTCAATGAGAAATGAAAGGACTAGTGCTCTTTCAGAAAAATTCATAGAACTAAGCTCAGAACTATGCTGCTGCCTTCTATAGACCACTTCTCCTAAACTACAGTGACAGATATCTGCTAAAAAGTTCCCCGAAAGCTGGTGTCACTTACCACAAGCTATGTAATCTCCATTGGAAGCGAGGCCTACAAAGTTTTTTTCATTGATGTGACCCTTGAAGGAACGTAGACAGTATGGTTTCCCCACATTCCACAGTTTTAGTTGGCTGTCTGTTGAGCTGAGATAAACACAAAAGTTGGAAGATATTTAAGATTTCATGGCATTAAACACATCCCCTACTAATTATAGGCAATCCAGTATTGTGGTTCAGAAAGCAGACTCTGGAGCTAAGATGTCTAAGTAACAATGTCCAATCTGCTATTAATTTGCTTTTAACCTTGGGCAAGTTATGAAACCTCACTGGATTCAGATTTTCATCAGTTAAATATGAATATAGTGATTACTACTTTATAGAATTAAAATAAATCTAACGAATTACTGAGAAAATTAAATAATTTAAAATACTTTCAATAGCACTTTTCATATGTAGGAAGTGATCAATAAATTCCAATGGTGTCAACAGCACCATATGACTACCAATCAAACAATAACAGCGCTCTACTGGAAGATGTGTTCAACTTTAGGGAGATATTTGTTCTTCTTGATTTGATTTACTTTTCAACTGTTGAATTATATAGGTATAAGGAACACAAACTACTTTCTAAGTTTAATTATCCCTACAGAAAAGGGATATGGTTAAAAGATCTACATAAAGTAGATCTTGCTTTTCTACATCAAGTAGATCAGTTTATCTTGCTGAAAGAATATGCAAATGCAGTTATTTACCAAAAAATAATTTTGTATAAAAATCAATGGTAACCATCATATAATCTTTGGACTTTAAAAAAATCATGTTTTGTTTTTCTCCGAATTTCTGTTATAAAAATTGGCTCTTACTACACATATAACTTTGGAAACTGCTTTTCTTTACTTTATAGCTTGTTTTATATTTTTCTGTAATGACTGCACAATACAACATTTTATTTCTTACTCAAAGACTCATCGTTCTAAAGATTTTTCATAGATCACTTAAAGATTCACAACCTAGGTACTACTATTAGCTCCACAGAGGAGACAAGAGAAACAAGTTTAGAAGAGTTAGTATGTTTTCAAAGTGAATAAACAGGATAGCCAAGAATTAAACTGATTGCAGAAGCTGAATTTCTAACTTTTAAAATATTTTTCCATTGCCTGTCATGTTTTCAACATAACATCTGTTTTTAGATATTTGTTTTAATTTGTTTTGCTCAACAATGTTGCTCTGAATATCCCTTTATGCTGCTATTTCAAAATACATTTTAATGTTAACATTACTATTTCCAAATACACTTGTGGTTAAATTTGTTTTGGGTATTTCCAAGGTTCAAATTCATCCAAGGGGGAAAAAAATCATTGTGATGTATTAAAATTAAAAAGGAAAAAAGACTGGTGAAAATATATATTAAAAAGATCAACTAAGATTTCCAATTTATGCTTAAGTACACACATAATTCCAATTTGTACTTAAGTACACACATAATTCAAAATTAGGCAACTAATTGGTTAAACATTTACAAATTTGAATTTTTTAAAAAAGGAATAAATCTGAAATCAAAGAAAAAAAATTTTGCCATATAAACTATCATCTACATTGAAATCTGAGTAATATTTAAATTATTCATTGTCCATTATATTTTCTCTTAAAGATGGGATATTTCTGACTGACTGCCACCTAATTTAATATTTGTGAACTAATTACCCACGTTAGTTCTCATGGAAAGCTTGTTTCCCATTTTGTTACTCAATTCAAATTACCAAGTTCTTATTTAGAGCAATAAGTGTGGAGGTAGATGTGATAGGAAACCATATATAAGGCACTGGCATTAATAATTTCCTGAGAGAGATCAGAAACTAAAAAGAAAAAAATATATCATTAAGCTTGAGATGAAAGCTTAGATATAAAACGAAAAAAATAAGAATGGGAAAAATGAAGAAACTACAAAATTACAAAATGGATAACCAAAAATGTGACTGCCTATGTTAGTGGAATATTTTAGTTAGTTCTCATATTATGAGAACAAAACTATGTTAGTTTATATATTTTGACAACTGARTGCTCTTTACCTCATTGAAATCCTATTACCTTTAAACAAATGAAAAAGACAACTGAAAGTTTATATTATTATTTTCTAGCTCAGAAGCCTTTTCAAAGGATTTATTAGGTATAAGTAGTTAAACTTAGAAAAGTTCTTTTTAAAACATATTTAAGCCAGACTCGGTGATGCAAGCCTGTAATCCCAGCAGCTCAGGAGGCTGATGCAGGAGGATCATGAGTTCAAAGTCATCCTCAGCAGAAGTGAGGCAACAAGCAACTTTGTGAGACCCTGTCTCTAAATAAAATACAACATAGGACTGGGATGTGGCTCAGTGGTCAAATGCCCCTAAGTTCAATCCCCAGCATCCCCCACCCCCCAAAAAACCCAACCCAAAACAAAACAAAAAATATAATTAAAACCCACCATGAAATCAGAGGTCAGTGTTAGTGTAAAAGTCAACAATTTATTTAAAACCCAAAATATGCTACTATTATACTTTAAGTAAACACATAATAGCATATTAGTTGACTTTAATAAAATTCTTTTCATTCTATTGCATTGACTAGGTTGTTTTCTTCTTCAGGAGAATTAATAACTGAAACCCAATTTAAAAGTTCAAATGCCACTAAACTTAGGAGTACTAGATTCAGGGTTACATTAAAAACTAGAATTTATAAATTTTACTCACAAATAACATAAAAATGAGCAATACAGATCAGAATATATGTGTATTTTAAATGGGTAAGATATAGAAATCTACCACTCAAGAAAAAGTGGATATAACCCAATGTTATTCTTTACATACAACTATAGTTATTTTATGAATTGGCAAATGATGACAGAGCTCAGTATTAAGCTCACCCTCAGGGGAGAGTAATACTCACGCAGAGACAATTTCCTCACCACTCACAAACTTTGCATAGGAGACTGCTTTTCGGTGTCCTTTGAATACCATGATTGGCTGTTTAGTGTTACGAAGATCATAGTAGTGGACACAGTGATCTAAAACAAAACAAAATGCAATAAAGTTAGTAAATACAGAAATGGAAAACAAAGCTAATTTTAAGTGGATTTGGTTTTTATCATCAAATGTTCCACAGATAATGTGACCCCTAGCACACCCTGTCCCATAGAAACATCAATTTGAATAGCTGCTTAGGTAGGAACTACTTTTACAAGAGTTAAGGAAACCAGGTCAGGTGAGAAATCACAGTACCTGTTTTAGTAAACTAATAAAAAATAAATAAAATGCACTGAAGAAAAGAGCTACCCAGGAACTTCTCTCCCAACTCCAAACAACATAGTATGGAGTGAAGCCTCTTACTTGGGGGTGGGGGAGGGGAGAATGAAGAAACAGGGTCCAAGTCTAAGAACACAGGCCCACCATGATATAATCCAGTACTGGACACAACCCTACAGCTCCTGCCTCCAGGGCAGTGCCTATGGGCTTTGGACCTGAATTAGCCTGGTGGCTTCCACCAATCCTTCCCCAATTTTGGACAGTACAACATGGAATAAGTCTTCAGCCTCTGCAGGTAGGACAAAGTAATCACAGACTTTGCCTTCGAATTCAGTGTTAGGCAAACTAAATCCAATACTGCGTGGATCCCAATGGCTATTGTCCTGCAGACAGAGCCTCTGAATCTACCATGGTGTCAAGTGGAAACCTCTGGAGACAACTAGGTGCACCTGTGTTCAGGCTAGCATCATCTGTGGCTGGTTATAACACTTTCAGGCCATATGTGCATACCGGAGCAGCAGACAGGGCATAAATAATATAGGCCTACATCCTGCCCTAGTGCTGTGCTGATCTTGGTAGGCTATGGATTCTAGATATAACCCAGCATTATCATGTTGGTAGGCCAGGGGACTGACTACCCTATCCCAGTCCCAACCCCAGGCAGCACAACATAGATGGAGTCATCATACACTTGGGTAAGATGAGGGCATACACTTGGGTAATATGAGGGAAGCAGGTGCCAACTCATTTCATAGAAGAACTGAGCAGTGATGCTCATTGCCGGGCAGAACCATGTGACACCTGATCACAGATCAGTGATTGCAGGTGAGCTACCCTTTTAAAGAACTCCCCCAGTTCTCAACAATACTTATACTGCAAATTTAAATAATCTTGGGCTTAGGGCACTCTCTAGTGCTGAAATAGCAGCACTGCTTACAAGCTCAAAGAAAATAAGCAGCCTACATAGACTCTCTGGAAGAACAAGTAAAAGCAAAGCCATATGATAAAGGCTGGAATAAATACCTAATCCTTCACTACATAGTTGTCTCTGTATACCAACAAGCATCAAGAACAAAATTCATATCAAGTATTTTTTTCCCACTGCAGCATGATAAAACCAAACTTTGGAAACTATACAATTACACAGAAACTAAACAACTTATTCCTTAAAAAAAATGTATAAAGACAAAAAAATAAATTTAAAGTTTTCATAAAAATGGAAACACAGTACGCCTAAACCTACTGGATATAGGAAAAGCAATGTTAAAGGTATACAGCTCTCAACAACTACATCAAAAAAGCAAAAAGATCTCAACCTATAATCACACCTCAAGGAACTAAAAAAACAAGTCATTCCCAAAATTGGTGTAAGAAAGTGATTAAGATCAAAGCAGAAACAAGTGAAATGTACATTAAAAATACAAGAGTCATGACACAAGGTAGTTTTTAAAAAGATAAACAACTGATAAACCTTTCAACAGACTCAAATAAAATCAGAGATAAAAATGAAATATTAAAACTGATACCACAGAAATACAAAGGATCATCAGAAACTATTATAAAAAGTGTTTTAGTCAGTGTTTTCATCACTATGACCAAAAGCCCTGACAAGAATGATTTTAGAGGAAAAAAAGTTTATCGGTTGACTGTGTTGTCCTGTAACCAAGATGAAGCAGAACATTATGACATAAAGGTGTGGAAAGCAGCTCAGGACATGGCAATCAGGAAGCAGAGAGAGCTCCACTCACCAGGGACAAAACATAAACTGAAATGGTAAGACCATTGACCTACTTCTTCTAGCTACACCCTACCTGATTAAGATTACTACCCAGTTAATCTCTATCACTGGGTTAATACAGTGATTAGGTTAAGGCTCTCATAACTCAATCTGTTTTACCTCTACACTTTCTTGTGTTGTCTCACATATGAGTTTTGTTTTTGCTCCCTGCCCCCATGGGGACATCTCATATCTAAATCATAATAAACTGTATGCCAAAAACTTTAATAACCTAGAAGAAACAGACATATCCCTGGATACATGAACCTTACCAAGAGTGAATCATGAAAAAAGAAAAAAGCTGAACAGATCAATAATGTATATAACAATTAACTCAGTAATACAAAGTCTCCCAGCAAGGAAAAGCCTCAAATCAGAGGGCTTCACTGCTGAATTCTACCAAACATTAAAAAAAAAAAAAAAAATTCAACAAGAATTCTTCCAAATTTATTCTATGAAGCCAGAATTACTTTTGATATCAAAACCAGACAAGAAAACAAAAAACAAAGTTGGAGGTCAATATCCCTGATGAACACAGAACCCTAAACAAAATATTAGTGAACTAAAGTCTGACAGCACATTAAAAAGATTGCTAACATCACTTCACGGATGAAAGATGGTTCAACACATGTAAATCAATAAAGGTGATCCATCATATCATCAGAATGGAGGGCAAAAGCCATATGATCATCAACAGATGGAGAAAAAACAGATTTGCAAAAATTCAGCATGTCTTTATGATGAAAATGCTGAATAAATAAGGTATAGAAGGAACATAATAAACCTAATAAATGCCATATATATAAAACAAGCCCAAAGCTAACATCATACTTAATGAAGGAAAGCTTTCTCTCCAAAATATGACAGGACAAGATGCCTACTTTTATCATTTTATTCAACATAGTACTGGAAATTCTAGTCAAAGCAATCAGGCAAAAGAAAGAAAGAAATGGTAATGAAAGTAGAAAGAAGAAAAGCAAACTGTCATTATTTGCAGAAAACATCTTATATACAGAAAACCCCAAAGACCTTACAAAACACACGCACACACACACACACACACACACATACATATAAACTCAGAAAGTTGTGGAATTCAAAAACAATACAGAAAAATCTGTAGTGTTTCTATAGGCAAAGTGAGAGCTTTATCTGAAATATCTAGAACCCAATCTCGTAATGTACAATAGCTAAAAATAAAACAGAAACAAACAAAAGACATCTTGTGTTCACAGACTGGAAGAATCAATATTGTTAAATGTCCTAAAGAGATCTATAAATTCAATGAAATCTCCATCAAAATACTAATGACATTTTTCGAAGAACTAGAAAATTCAATCATAAAATTTGTATGGAACCATGGARACCCCCATTTTTTTCCTTTTTTTTTTTTTAAACAAAAGAACCAAGCAGGAAGCATTAGCTTATCTGATTTCAAAACAAATGTACAGTAATCAAAACAGTATGGTACTGGCATAAAAACAGGCACATGAACCAATAGAACAGAAAAGAATCTAGAAAACTCATATCTATGGGCAACCAATCTTCAACAGAGTGCTAAGAATATGTTTTGTGGACAGGGGTCATCTTTTCAATAAAAGGTGCTGGGAAAATTGGATATCCACATGCAGAAGAGTGAAACTAGATACAATCTTTCACAATTCACAACTATCAATTCAAAATGGATTAAAGATTTATTTATTGGGGGGGTGACTAAGAATTGAATTTAGGGGTACTCAGCCACTGAGCCACATCCCCAGCCCTATTTGCATTTTATTTAGAGACAGAGTTTCACAGAGTTGCTTTGTGCCTCACTATTGCTGAGGCTGGCTTTGAACTCGTGATCCTCCTGCCTCAGCCTCTCCAGCTGCTGGGATTACAAGTGTGAGCATTAAGCCTGGCTGGATTAAAAATTTAAATATTAGATCATAACTACTAAACTACTAGGAGAAAAAAAACATCAAATGCTTCAGAACACTGAACAGGGCAAGAACTTTTTGGAGGTGATGTTAAGATTTCACCTAGTAAGCCAGCACAAAGGGAGAAATATCACACAATTTCACTCTTCTGTAAAATCTTAAAAAAGAAAAAAAAATGAAATAAAAGTTGAGAGGAAAAAACAGTGGTTAGAGAGACTGGAAAGAGTATGGGGAAAAGAGAAAAGGAATGGTTAGTCAATTAATATGAAATTTTAATAGGATAGTGTTTATCTCTTGGAGTGACTATGGATAATGATAAGGCACTATATTTTTAGAAAAGCTAGGAAAAAGATTTTCTTTTTTTTTTTTTTTTTGGCAGGGGGCAGTGTCCCAGGAATTGAAACCAAGGACACTCTACCACTGAACTACATCCACAATACTTTTTATTATGAGACAGGATCTCTCTAAATTGCTGAGGCTGTCATCAAACTGGAGATCCTCCTACCTCAGTCTTGCAGGTCACTGGAGTTGGTGTGCATACCTGATGGAAATAAAGAATTTCAAAGTTTTCTTTCTTTTTGGCAGCAGGGATTCAACTAAGGGGCACTTAAACAGTGGGTCAMATCCATGGTACTTTTTGAGACAGAGTCTCACTAAGTTGCTGAGGCTGGCAATAATCAATATTGTTAAATGTCTAAAGAGATCTATAAATTCAATGAAATCTCCATCAAAACACTAATGACATTTTTGTAAGAACTAGAAAATTCAATYGTAAAATTTGTAGGCTCCCACTGGAGCCACTGGGATTTTAGGTGTGCGATACCACACCTCCTGGCTAGATCTTAGGTGTTTTCACCACAAATAAATGACAAATATTTGAAGAAATATATCTATGTAACCTAGTTTGAACATTATACAATGTATACATTTATGGTAATATCACCACGTACCCCATATATATAATTTTTATTTATCCCTAAACTAAATAAACAATCCATTTCTAACAGCCAGAAAACTAAGAGATATGACCATTTTCAAAAATAAGGAAGATACATATTTTGTTTTA